AACTTTGCTGGAGGGATGTGCTCTACTGAGTGGCATTCTACTCTTTGATATGACATTGATATGTTGTATGTTCTTACTTAAAGTCCATGTTTCTCTTTTCCTCAGGATTCTCACATCTGCTGCCTTACTTCTACGTCATATATTTCACCGTGCTGCTGATCCACCGAGAGGACCGGGACGAGAGACAGTGCCGGACCAAATATGGACTAGCGTGGGACACCTACTGTCACCGCGTCCCCTACAGGATCTTCCCCTATATCTACTGAAAAAAGAAAGCAGACGGCTGGAACGGGACCAAAACCACCGCACAATATCCTCGTGATTCTGCAAAGCTGCATAAACCCAGTGGTAACTTTAAACCCATTTACATATAAATGGACCACAAGTAATAACCGGTGCTGCTACTGGGGACATGCAGGGAGCTGACAATTTTCGTTTGCTCTCATCTGCAAGCCTGCGGTCTAGTTAGAAAATGATAGATCACTTCCTCTAATTCTTTGCATTTTCAGAGCAACGTGATTCACTACAAGGTAAAGTCAGTCTCCATTACACTTCTGTTGTTCTGTGTTTTTCTCAGGCTCAAGCATCCCAACATAAAAGGCTTGCAATGCCAGCCTTGTGAGGTCCTGGAATTAAATAAGAAAATAATTTTGAATTTACTTTTTGTACTTTCAATGACAAAACAAACATATGAAACTGAACCAAAAAGGTAAATAATAGTGCCTTTTTTTTCTTTCCAAAATGACTGGGTCACCTGATTTTACCATGTTTATTTACACTGTCTTCCTTTTTGTGTATTGTTATTTGTGAAATACATTTGAAATAAACAAATACAAAAGTGACTTGCATCATGCATCTTCATTGCTTATATTTGAAGCTGTCTGAGGGTTGTAGAGAAGACAGAATAATAACACATTAATATGGGGAGTTTAAAATATTGAGTTTACACTAAAGATGTAAAAAAATGCAAGTTTGACAGACAGCTATTAGTTTGTAAAGATATCTGAAGCTAGGCTTCCATTTAACAACCATCTCCACCTTTTGTTCTCATCCTGTTCAAATGGATCTACTCTCCATTCACATAGTAGACGTTCATCAAGCATCTGTCAGACTTCAGCTTTGAATCTGTTCAGCATAAATGACTCCAAAGGAACAAGGTTACATGAGATCTATTAGTGAATGAATTGCACTGCATCAGTCTTCTAAATGTAGGACAATGGCGATCAGGACAGTGGAGTCTGACAGACATGAATGTGTTTTCACTCGGAACAAGTATATTTCTTTATACACCTTTTGTGTGTATTTCCATTATGAGTCTGGCCTTCAATTCAATTTCGAGTGGCACTAAAAGTATAAAACTGAACTTTGTGTATAGCTGTGGGGCGTCTGGATGCATCACTGTGAGGATAGTTTTTTGAACAGGTTCTCAAGAAGAAAAGGTTCCAAGATGAACTGCTGCATGTGGGTTCATGTGGTTTATTTTCAAATGCTGAGTTCCTTTTCTAACTCATTTTGACCCTTTTTCTAGAAACGGGCAGGTTTTGTCTCAAAACGTTGTCCATCATGAACCTTTCTAATCATACTTCCCCTCACATTTACCTTACACTGCAAATGATTGCTCTCTAAACATGCACTAAACTGCTCTGTGCAGTTGCAACCCCTCATTTTCCACCTTTGAAACCCATTTACAGTACAGCTGCCCTCTGGCCTCGCCCACACAGCGCTCCAGCTATTTTGTGTTGTTTTTCAATATGCTACAAGCTAATTAGGGCTCTGCTTGTATAATGCCACGTCCGTCTGCTTGGTGACTGATTAATGCTAAATGAATACATAAGCCTTACAGGTTTTATGTATATGTGTGTACATTAGAATTCTCTCTGAAAAAATACATGGTAAATTGTGATATTAATGTTCCCACCAAGAAGGTTATGTTTTCAATCCTGTCCCCTTGTTTGCTGGTTAGTTGGTTTACTTGTGTGTTTGTAAGCTGAAAACAACAGAATAGATTGCCATGAAACTGAAGGATGTTTTATGCGTAGGGGGAGAATCCATTACATTTTCGTGTGGATCTGGATCAGGAGACAGATGCAGGAATTGTCTTTAACATTGTGTGATCAGGGACATTTCAGGAACTGATCACACAATTATAAGAGTGGGTCATTTGAAGCAGCTTGACTGAATTTAAGGGGACTGTTGGGACTTGGAGGAGGTATCCGTTCTTTTGAGCGCTCTAGTTTTCATATGAGTTCAGTTATTTTCTTTAGTCAGTAAATAATAAAGACAATTCCTTTTAACATTCCATTTGTATATCCTGTCCATTCATATTGTGACAAGCAAACCAGTCTGAAGGAATTTGTGTCCATCCTCACACATTACATCTGTACAGCACCTTTAGGAGAATAGTGCCTGTCTCATTCCACACATACTCCTTTGTCTGCAAGCAGTGCCCAAGGTCAGGCCATAGATGCATATTAAGACTTCACTATTCAATAGGATCTGAAAAACCTACATGTAACATAGAGAGTGACAGTAATTCTTGCCTTTCATGGGTGTGCTGTTAGAATGGGTGACGCAAGGTGAGGAAGATAAATTGGGATCCTTCTGGTCTCCTTGATGCATCAAGTCTACATTATACTCTTCTCCTTTCACCAGCTTCCAGAAATGGTGGAAAGTAAACTTCTGTAAATTTACTGAAGCAGGATTTTTACTACTGGGCTTTTACACACATTAGAGTAGCCAGTTACATCCTTGTCAAAAGTATATATAGATATATGTATATTTATCTATGACAAGTCAATGAGTACTACTGAACTGCAGGTTTTTGTAAACAAGGCCTTGATATTCTCTATTCTTTTACAGCTCTCTGTGATCAGGAGTAAAATCAGACACTGACACAGTTACCTCAAAATCCCCTGGGCCTCATTCATAAAATATATAGAGGGATTTCATTTTAAAATTTAATTTCTAAATTATTTTTTAAAGGACCCGTCTGACTACACCTGAATCTTGCTACTTCTTTAAAAATAGCCTTAAAAAAGCCACAGGAATTTAATAACATAGCAACAACCTTTATTTTCCACTACATGTCTCACAAAAACACCAGCACAGCTACAGACTATTTGTTTTTCTCCATCACAGTAAATACATAATAGCACTGATTTAGTTTTAATTGGAGCATTTTCAGGGTCCAATTTTCTAAAATGTTTGATATAAAAATATATCAGTTCGATAATTGGAGATGGTCTTTAGTTACAAAGGAAAGTGATGGATGTTTTTATAGATGAGCTGACAGTTAGAATGAGTCACGGACAGACGACAAATAAAAACACCAGTGTTAACAGGTTTGACACAATCTTGGACACAAACAATCATTTTTAAGAAAGCACATCTGCTGCCTTTTCATTTGTGGGATGAAAAACATCAATCACAACATCATCATTTCAACAAAAATATGAAATTTAGTTGAGAACTTTTTTCTTTTGGCTTTTTCATTTAGAATTAAATCAGAGCTTTTGAATGAAATGGTTCAGTTTTGCTTGTGGTGCCTTGCATGTCTCAGCCTCTTCTATTCTACCAAAAAAGCTTGACATTAAACTTGAATTACATGTTTACTTATTAAGTGTGTGACCTTAATATTTGCTCCTATGATTTTCCTCTGTATGCACACCTGTACATCCATAATAACATGCAACAACTTAGAGTGCCTTGCATATTAATGAATGAGCAAATGTGTGTTTGTCGGTGTTTGTATGTGCGTTTGTGTGTGTGGGTATTTGTGTGTGTGTGTGTGTGTGTGCACTGCCAATTGTACATGCCAATCGTGACGTTTCAGTCCCATCAGTTGTAGCCAGTTTCCATGGCAACATAGGGAGCACAGACGTAGGAGAGAGGGGAAAGGAGTTGAGACAATTATCGCGGTGGAGGGTGCTGAAAAAGGAAGAGCCCGGCATAATGAGTGTGTAACAGTGTGAACTGTGGGATGAGGCAGAATTAGAGACAGATGCATGTGTTGCACTGAGTGAGCAATTGAGTGCATGTGTGCGTGCATGTGTGTGTCCTGGCATTAGCAGGTGTCATTTATAGAAGCATTAAGGATGTGGTTGTCATGACTTCATACATGAAACTGTTATATATGTTCTGGATGTTAAAAAATGTCTTGTACAGACGGGCAGTGCTGCCAGGCATGTACACCGACTTGAACTGGATATTTCTGTTTTGAGTGAGCGCCTCGGAGTGAGGCAGCAGGAACCTCTAATACAATTTAGTTTCCATGGTGACAGCGGGGAATGATAAGTCCTTTTCAAACAGAGGGAAAACGCCTGTTCGAAGCCTTGCTGCTGCTCTGTTTTCTGTCTGAATCATTATTTAGACAAGTGATAACCTGGCAAACCTCACACACACTACTAGTGAGCCCAGGAGGTGTCCCAGAGACACACTCAGTATTTCTCTTCTTCTCTCCTTTTCTCTTTTTGAAATCAGAGGGGAAAAATATGTAGCTAAGTAAAAATCACATACATTTTATAAATGTGCCACAGCTGCAGTGACAATTTCATTTGTGATTTCTTGCTATGGAAATTAAGTCTGTCAACTTACTAAAACAGGCATGCAGTGCCCTATAATTTGAAATGTTAACATAATGGACGTGTAGACTTTAATGAAAGGCTATCACCATCTCTCTCTGCCTCTCCAGCTTTTTTCACAGCGCTGAGGCTTTTTCACTGAATTCAGTTATTTCGGTGCCTTTCAAGAGGCTGCGCGAATGTCTCTGGAACCACTTCTCTGTGCAGCTGTTTTTCGACAGCCACTCGTCTTTCCCTTAAAAATTCCCCCTTATCATCCTCTGAGTTACATCTTTCTCTATCTCTGGTGCTGGCAGAGCATCATGTCTGCAAAACTCCTCACAGATGGGCAGGAAAGGAGACACTGAAGAAGAGAGCATGGTTTTGGTATCACTGTTTTATTAGAATACAGCATGTGAATTGCTGTACAGTGTAGTATAACCTAATAAATATAAAGTAATCCACCAAGTTGACTGTAGCGTACATTGATGATAAATGTATAAAAGACAGATACAAATAGATATACTTAAATACAATTTTCTAAAATGCTTTGTTTAGAGCAACTACGTAATGACATTCAACCGAGCTGCGTGTCTCCCCCTTCCCATATGTTCATGTGCTTTAGTAGTGATTGTCCAGACTCAACACGTTCACACTGTTGGCAGAGTTTTGAGGTCTCAGTGTCCTGTGATTACTCTCATGGGAACATCATTTGGTGCAACATGTACTGTCTACTTTGTCTTCGTGAGCACTGATGGACTATTGAAGACAAGCCAAGGAAATGTTTCAACTGATCTTGCTCCTTCATTAGTTCTCAATAGGTATAAAATTGATCGTAAATGACACAAGAGGTGTGTGTGTGTGTGTGTGTGTGTGTGTGGGCATTTTTCGTTTCTGCAGTGGTCAAGAAGAAACCTGATAGAGGATAAACACTGACAATGTGATTTAAGGTTCAAATATGGCTTCAACTTGAAAATGCTCCACAGGGAAACTATAACATGAAATTAATTTTAGTAAATGACATGAAAGTTGCTGAAATGTAAAGCAAATGAAAGGTACCTTAATAATTAGTCAATACAGATGACTTTAGTTCATTTTGTCGAGCTAAGGAGGTTATTTTTTCACCCCCAGTCCATTGGTTTGTTTGGTTGTTGTTTGGATGGATTACCATTAAACTGGAGGGATGTGCTATGAGTCAAGGAAGAAGCCATCCAAGAATTCAAGAATTTTTGGTTATTGCGAGATGTTGATGGTGTTTTTCAACATTTTGTTTTCCAGGAAGTAATCATGATTCAGTTAAATTTAGGTAAATTACTTTGTGAAATTTGGGTTGGTCTTGGTGGAGGTATTTACTCCACTGAGTGCCATTATTGTTATTTTGCCATTTTCTCAGGGAATAATGCATGGGCTATGATTTCTTTTTTAAATCAGGCATATTTAGGAGGTGAATATCTATGACTGTTTTCAACTTGGTGCAAATCAGAACAAAAACCCAGATTGAACTGATTTGTTTTTATTCTGTGTCTATTCTCAGCCACTGTCAAGTACAAAATAGGGCTAGAAACCTACAACTACTACCACTGCTTAGCTGAGATAATGAGGATATATCTAGAAGAAATCGGAACACATGATAACAAAGGCAGCACCAGCTGAGAAAAGGCTTCACTGTTTACATATCTTGGTCATCAGCAACCTCAATGTTTTATAATGTCCGTCCCTTAAAACCTTGATAATATGATTGTAGATGAATTGAAGCAACTTCACTGTCCTTATACTTCTTTAATAACTGAGACGCTGTCATAGAGTCCTTGTTGTCTCATGTGTCACTTGTGTCCCACTCTCTATTAATACATACACTTAATAAAACTGCATCGACTCATGAATCCTATTACATTGCTAGTTTTCTGTTTTTAAATTGCTTTTTGTACATGGGATTTTCTATATTCTACCTCATATCAGAGAAGAGCTGCTGTGCTAAAATGACTATAGTATAGATGCAGATGATTAAGAGTAAACGTCACTAGGAATAGGAAATAGGAATAAGGCGCTCCCTGCACACACAAAAAGAATTACAACAGAACTAAGTTTCTACTTTTTCAAGTAAAAAACATTGCGCCAAAATCTTTGTTTAAGAGTGAAAAAATAAAAGTCATGGCCTGGCAGTAACAACACAGCATGTAGACAGAGATATTCATCATTTTTATTTTCACTTTGAATTGACTTCTTTTTTAAATTTGGCACAATGTTTTTTATATATTTAAGTTATATGCCTGAGCATGAAGCTCCTCAGAAAGCATGAACCTGGAATAATAGGCCCTCAAAGCTATGGACTTTAACTTATTTAAATACACATCACAAAGCATTGACTCTTACAGTCAAACTTATGATTACTAATTTGATGCTTTAATTACAGTGTGAAATTCAACTTCTGGTGGAGGTTGTCATCAAGACAACGATGTCTTAGCCAATGCTTTATTTCCATCCTGGTTAAAAGTGTTATTTCCCTGCAAGGCCTCCAGCATTTCTTACAACGTGTTAGAGTTCTCCTGCACTATTTAACCTGTTTCTTACAGTTGTATTAACCTGTAACACAATCAAAGCAATTATTTTACACATGGAATGAAACCAACACAATCCTACTTTGAGTGGGTTTTCAAACTCACAGAATGCACACGTATTATTTCCTTTTCCAAAGTGTTTGGAGATTCACAGTGAGTTGAGCGACTGTATCGGTAAGAGCAGCATGGGGGGAAAAAAACTCCAGCCCTTCATATTGTTAAAATCTGATAATGATCAAAGGCAACATAAACACTTGCTGCGTCCTCATTCTGTTTCATTTCCATCCTCCGAAACTTCGTCTGGCTGACCGACAGCAGAAACTGGGATAAAGCAACATAATCGAGCGGAGCCTTTACATTCACATCATCACTCAGCTTGGTCTTGGTTTGTCCTTGTTCTGACTGTTGGAAATCCAAGCCAGGGATGGGAATATGGAGAGAGGAAAAGTTGAAGTCTCCGGTCTTTCTTCTGGGTCTTTCTTACAGATATTTCCCTTTTTTTCTCTCCAGATCTCCTGTGAGTTAAAAGCTCACCAAGGCATAGACCATACTTCAGCAGGAAACAGACCATGGCAAAAGAAGTAGGGACAGAAAATGTATTGTGCTGCTTAGTTCACAACTTTTTAAGTTCACATAATATCACAACAAACTGCAAGGATTACTATAAATAAAATGATTGTGATTTTGTATATACCTGTAGAGATAATAGAAGAAAGAGAGCAGATAAAAGCCCAGTTTACACCACGACTCCTTCTGGCAGTAGTTGAGGATGTCGGCGTTCATCACACTGACCGGATCGTACATGACCTCTGACCCGTCAGCTGGCCGGTGAAAAAACCTGAAAAAAAGCAGTGAGGTTTGGCTTATTCAGCCACCAGAGCAATGGAAGCGTGTCAGACATCTGTTCTGGGACTGTACCTCCACAGATGGTAGAAGAGCAGTGGGATATTCAGGCCGAGTGTGACCCACTCTCCAGCACACATGAACATCAGACAGAAGAGTCCGTGGATGGAGTACTCTGGGACCACCAACTAACCAGAACACACACACACACACACACACACACACACACACACACACACACACACACACACACACAGTCTTTTTATAGGGCTGCACATTATTTAGTGATGAGGTAATTACACTGCAGCAAAAACACATGAGAACAAAAAGCATACAGGATGTAGACAGGTTTTTAGGGTGGCGGGATGGAACTAAATAAATTGTTGACCTCAGAAGTGGTAAAGATAATGAATAGATTGTGTTACATGTTCTCATTGTTTTTAAATTTTTTAAAAGTGATCAAAAATTAGAGGTGAATTCAAGAGTTTATTGGTTATCATTAGTTATTAGTTATTGATTATCGTTAGGAAGGCAAACAGTGATAGAAAAATGGTGGGTATGACTGATGTTCATGTTGTAACTCTAATCTAACTCTTACACTAACTCTGTTTCTGTTTTGCTTTTACTCACAACTCTAAAGGCTATAAAACCTGGTGCTGGAGCATCTTAAAACATAACCATGCTCACCAGGTATGTGCCAAGATTTACTGTCTGTTGTTTGGTCCTGAGCATAGTGCACAGTGGATTTGTCATAGATTATTGACTGAGAGCAGCTGCCCACTGCACTCAGATGTTCTGTGGAGCTGAGGGAAATAGCAGAATTGGGAGATTACCCTTTGTGAGTTCACACAGAGGTGACCCCTTTGTATTACACAAAGATTGTTAACAGAAAAATATTGATTTTTAGCTGCTTTAAAGAAATAACACTTAAACCAGCAGATTTTCTTGTTTAACATGACAGGTTAGTGACTGGACAAGTACAGCGTCTCTATAAACAGGGCAACATAAGCCTCAGGGCTGAGTTGGCATTAACATGATGTCATTAACATGGGGAGTAAAAATGAGGAGAGTGTATACCTCCACAAAGGCCTAACAGGATTTCTACCTGAATCTGCACCAATTTTCACACACTCATAGATATCAGTCCCCTAAACATGCCTGATTTGCATTACTGGAAAACTGATCAGCCCTCTATTCTGATCAGATATATATTTTCTAACGTCATGCTACACAGTTAGAATCGTTGCCCATCATCCCCCTCTGCAGCAGATATGCTATTATAACCATTATTGCACTACAGCAATGGTATTAAAAGTATATGTATCATCTAATTTCTTCTTCAATTATAGTTTGATTGAGTGGTTAACTATCAGATGCACTTGGAAAATAATGAATCAATAAATCCATATTTGCAAACATCTGCAAATCAGTGGCTTCACAGGAGAGCAGAAAAAAGAGCATGACCACTTGTAGAGACCTTGAGTTCTTTTTGTTAAATCACCGAAATGAGAAAAGAAATCAAATCACAACAGGCACAAAACCCAGTGCACTGTACCATTGATCTCCACTGCTGTGTGTGTGTGTGTGCAGAGCAGTGATGGCGGGCGGTGAGGATGGGCTACGTGTGAAATGAATCAGAGTACGCCATGGTCCTCACAATGGTCAGACAGACAAATGTTCATGGTTGTCTGAGGGGGTTCTGTTTTAGTCATCCGCCGGCAGCAGGTGAGCAACAGCGATTACTCACTCGGCGAAGCAGGTTGCAGATTCTTTCGATGTTGAGAATCCGCTCCCTCTGTGGAATAGATTTGTACAATTTGTATAATAAATTGAAATAAATATCAGGGCAGAAAACATATGTGCTTTAAGGTTTTAGAAAGTTCTATTTGAAAGGAATTCAGGTGACAAAGTTTGACTCATTTTAGTGACGTGTTAATATTGTCTTGCTTGATTATAAATGTATTAAGCAGGTAAGGATGCATCCATGTTCACAAGTCATACCCCTGAACCAGAATTACACAATATAAACGTACTTATGGTATCAAATAATAACCCATGAATAATAAATACTCAATAACCAACTAATTTGTGTTTGTTTTCCATCTCTATACGTATGGCAGCCCCTTCATTCCAGTGTCTGTTGAATCTGGAATTTGGGAGAAATGTTGAAAGTTGTTTTTCCATCTAATATTTAAAATGTTTGTTTTTCATCCAACTATAAGCACAGAATGAAATGTTGTGTTGCTGAAACTAAACTAAATAAATCAGTTAATCATTAGAAAACTGCAGCAGCTACATATGAAGCAGTGACACTGACGTATGGTGCAGCTTCTCTGGCACTTTGTCTTATAAACCTAACAGCTTCGAGTCTCCTGTGATCCATGAGGGGAGCCTCAATTATCAATTATAGAAATGAATCCATCCATCTTCTCCTGCATTTACCAATTAGCAGCCAGGAGATGTTTTATTCTGGCATCCATTGATTGGCTAGCAAAGGGAAATGAGATGTTTTGATACAGTTTATTCACTTATTATATTTATCTCTTCTCCACCCCCAGACTGCTGATAGAGCAGGTAAACAAAAGTACTAGTAGTGAGACATTTGTCAGCAGCACGCTGTGAGTCCAGGGCCATGTAACTGGATTTGGTCTTAGATGCAGACGGCTGAAAAGGCTCTCATACTCATTTTATGACAAGTTGAGGCATTTGTCTTATGATAGGATTCCAGCTTTCTGTATAAATCCATTCCCTTCAGCTGGAGCCACATGCTGCACCTTTCATGAATCTGTGGCCACAATATTAAACTCCCATTGTGACCTGGAACTCTTTGCCTTGGATCTACAGCCAGAATCTGGTTCTCCATCCTCTATGCAGGTGTTGATTTGCTCTATGTAATCTTCCACTCTCAAGTCTGCTTTGTGAAACACATCCTGAGTTCTCTGTACACTGTATGGTTTGTTATTGTGCATATACATTGTTGCTCTGCAGTGGGTCTGCTTGGAGTTGGCCCTGGAGTCTCCCTGAGGTGCTTCGGTTTGTGTCAGGTCATCCTGAGTCACTGAATATTTAATTGTCCCAGCAAGGGACACACAACTGAAGACATTAATCAAAGACAGATGAGATAGTTCACAATATGCAAATCAAATTATAGAGCAAGAATTATTTAGTTTGATTTGATTAGGGATCTAATCTAAAGTAAAGAAATGCATGACTTTTGGTGATGTGTTTTTCATGCTTCAATTCAATTTTATTTGTGTGGCACCAAACACAACATACATTATCTCAAGGCACTTCACATTGTGAGACTGAGACCATACAATAATTTAGATTATAGTGAACATAAGATAAGATAAGATAAGATAAATATGGTAATAGTAATAATAATAATAAATATTATTATTATAATATTTGAGAGTTACAATACTGGATCCTCTCAACATGACACTGCTCTTTGTGGGGGTGATTCACCATTTAAGACAAGAGTCAACAATTCTGTTTTCCACCTTGTGTTGTCATACAATCACAATACGTATCCCTGTGAGACTGTGATATGTGGCTGTACACATACATCTGATTTGGAATCACATGTTTACTCTCTTCCAGTTTGTCTCCCTACAATATTTACTGCCTCTTTCATTGCAGACTGTATCAGCTGTGAGAACATCAGAGATCTGTTGATTTTCCGGAAAGTCTGTAATCATGTAAGTCCTCGTTCTGTTCTGCAGTTTATTGATTTGGGGAGAGACTGGTAGTACTATTTCTTCTGATGTTTAGGTTGTCTGCTATGATTTAAAAACATCTGTACAATCCAACACAACAGCCTTGATACAAAACGGTGCCGTCAGTAAGCTCGTAAAGTTCTTTCTCCATGATGCTATTTCCCCTCTCCACCTTTATCTGAGGAGGAAAAACAAAACATCCTGTTTGGTCTGAACCTTCCAAGCAGTGTCTACACCAGAGCTGCTCCATCTGATTGCACTGTACTTTTTTTCTTTTTTAGATGTTGCAGTTATTGTGTCCACCCCCCTGTAGCTGGCCTGCCTCCACACTCCTACAGTCTGTTTTCACAGTTTTCTCTCCCACTCCTCATCACTCTCACTTCGCAGTTCCGATGCATGATTGCTAGAATATTAGCTAACTTGCGAGAGGGACATTCGCAACTACTGTTACAAGCTGCATGAATAATGGCACTTAGTATTGACTGAACCTTAATAAATGTTAATAAGAGATAAAGAGAAAATTAGATGTAAAAATATAAGCAACACTGCAGGAGAGAAGTGAAATACCTGCACTTACTTTAGGACAATTCATGTATTATACTGCAGATTTGTTTTTTTTTGTTTTTTTATAGCAATGTTGGAATGTCCCTGTGTGGCGACTGTGCAGTATCTCATTGTACAAACAGCAGCTTCATTTGCATCAATCTCTTTAATTGACTGAGCCAACAGGTCACATCTTTGCAGAAGGTTGATTGTTTCAATCAGGATGCAAATGAGCGTTGAAATGAGCCCGAGAGCGTCTGTGCTGCAATCACCTGGAAGCCTGGATTAGCCGTAACTGGTTTCATAGTACGACAAATATTTGACATTGTAGGATTAATGGGTAGGCTGAGTGCTGAAAGGTGTCAATCCAAATGTGCAAATCACGAATCATTAATTTACATTAAATAACATGACATAAAATTACATGAGACAGCTATATGGGTTTCTCATGAAACTGTTTTTATTTATTTTAAAACCTTCTTTTTAAAACCACTCTGTTTCTAAACTCAAAATCTAAAGTCATATGCAATAATTTCATAGTGAAACCTTCGATTGGTTCTGGGTCACTCTGTGTAAACCAATGACGTGTTCTTCTTGGAACTGAGTCGAAGGGATTTCTCTGTGTGAGCAGGAGGGTTTGATCATTCTTGAAAGAAATAAAGCAGCAGGGTTCTTACCGCTCTGGTGGGATTGCTCTGATCAATGGGGTTTTTGAAGTCTGTGCGCAGCTCATCAAAAGCGATGATCTGAAAAATAACACACTTGTGTGAGTTTGTTGTCATTCGGTTACCTTCAGAATCACAATGAATGCAAACACTGTATGTAATGTATGTACAGTGTAAATAAAAGGCACAGTTGGAATCTTTACAAGACCACACTCATAAGAAATCATCTTGTGCAGCACGCTCAGTGCATCCTGCTCAGCTGCAGCCACACTATTCACTTTGCTTGAACACAAATGGTGATTAAATGGTTAATGTGTGCATGTGTAATTAAAGCCCTATCCTTTCCCCCTTTATTCTCTGTATGAGCAGCTATGGTTTTTATTCCATTATCTGAGGAGCTGAAATTCTGATTTCAGTTCTCCTCTTGGTTTCTTACCTAAGCATGATTACACAAAAACAACAAACTTGGTGGAAGTATGCAGTATGGGTCAAGGAAGAACTCATTCGATTTTGGTGTGGATCAGTAGACAGACTTTTATTTATCTTGAGATAGGGCAGGTTTTTTTTGTTTGCTTTCTTTTTTATCTTTCAGTGATTTCCCATGCAGGGAATTATTCATGGATCTTGATGAAATTGAAATTGAGGGAAGTGATGTCTATGAGTGTGTGAAATTTGGTGCAGCCTGATTGAATTTAAGGGGACTGCTGGACCTTGGCCGAAGTATGCGCCCTGCTGAGTATCCATTTTTTGGCTTGACCCTTATTTTCTGATTTCCATCTCCCCTAAACCTCTTGGCCAGTCTTTATTTCATGAGCCTGATCTCTATAGAAACTGAATACCCATGGAGACACAGGAGGCTCACATTGAAAGTTAAGGAATTCATTAAAAAGGTTTGTTTTGTTGAGAGGAGTAATGAACAATATATGAAACCCTCCAGAAATGTATGTCTCTGGCTTTTTTAGCAAAATGTAAATATATGATGAATTGAGAACACCTTAGATCACAACACTGATAAGTGCTCTCTCTATGGGAGTATAATTTTTCTCTCTGACCCCCTGATTAATTGCTCTATGAACAATAGCAATAATTCAGGCATATAGACCCCCTGCTGTGCTTATCATCAGTTCTGCTTTTAAATAGCAAGCTTCATTTCACTGGCTCATTACAGAGTCATTAAAAAAACAGGTACTATTTGCAGATAAGTGAGCATCAGCATCTGATTTATCGCACATATGACTGACAGGAGAGTAGCCTTCTCTGTGTTGGATATAGAAACAGCCCTGCTGGTAATCTCCCCTATATGAGTATATACGTCTCTCCCTCATCTTCCTTCACACTTAGCTCTGTTGTAAACAGATGCAGTTTCCATGGCGACATGGTGAGCCCCTAAGTGAGCACCATGGTTACTACACAGCGATTCTGATTGGTGGAGAGCCATGTAGAAGAGGGGTGCTGAACCCCCCAGCCTTGGGGGAAGGGGTGAACAAATCATAGTTTGATGAGCGTGTCAGTAACACGAGCGCCGAGCCAGACGCATTCTTCTCCTCGTATCTATCACACACAGATACACTCACTGACTCATCGTCTCACCCACTTAGTCAATTGGTACGTTAGCCATTTCAAGTCATATATTCATGATGATGTCTTTTTTGTATTTCACATTATTTCTGCTTCCATGTTGAAGGTGAGGGATCAGAGCGTCAGTGTTTGTGGAGTCTGGACAAGCGCACAGGTCTCCTGTGATCTCTGTGCAAATAGCAGTCGAAATGCCACAGGCAGAGTGATGCACAACCGTCTGGTGGCCAGATTTACGGTGGTTGTGTGTTGTCACCTCCCTGCTCTCATTACGTGCAGTTTGCTGGAGGCTGAACACCTTGTTTGCAGGAACAGTTTATTGCCAGTACTCTGGGATACTATGTTTCTTTAAGTGGGGGGGACGGAGTCAGCTGGAATCTGTCTTTGAGTTGAGTATACAAGGGTCAGACGAGCTCCGGTTAACTCAACTAGTTATAAACCACCAAGGGAGCAGGTCAGCTCGAAGTGATGTGCGGAAATAGATGAAAAAAAGCACAAATCAAAACTTAACATCCTGAGTTTTACAGATTCTTCTTTTTTATTTCAGTGGCATTTCATCCACCCTAAACATTAGTATCCACCTGAGTGCTGCCAAGGCTTGGTATTTGAAATCACAGAGAGAAACGTGTCATTTGGCTTTTAAGGTCAGATGGTCACATTGAGTACAAGCACACTGTGGTTTGAGATAAAGTTGCTGCATTTCTGCATATCATTCAGGTGTGTGTGTATGCACTTGTACAGATATCTATGTGAGGACCATTTTGAGCCTGAACAATATGGACATTTTGGCCGATCCTCACTTTCTGATGCACTTTCAATGCGATGTTTGAAGGGGGTTAGTATTAGGTTAAAGGACAGGGTAAGGGGGTTAAAGATTTGGGGTTAGGCATTTAGTTGTGATGGTTCCGGTTAGGGTAAGGGGCTAGGGAATGCATTGTGCCCTCACTGAGATGGAAGTGCAGTGTTGTGTACATGTGAGCGTGTGGATGTGTTTGTCTGCCTGTGTGGGATGCAGAGTGGAGTGTTCTCAGGCTCTACATGTGCCCGTTTTAGTTTTCTCTGTATGTGTGTGTGCTGTGGACACGGGGTGCACTGGGCCACTCACCTGCCATATGACAAAGAAGATGAGAGCGGCGCACAGCACCAAGGTGAGCATGTAGCAGAAGGCCGCAAAGGTGAACGCCATGGCTGTGCCTGCCAGCCTGACGACGAGACGGGTCGAGAGAAGAGACAGGGAAACCCCTCTCCTCCTCTCTGCTCTGAATCTATTGCTCCCTCTACTTTAGCAGAGGTTATTGTCTGTTTCCCAGCTCTGACGCAGGCAGAGTCTGTGTTGTCCAGGTAGGTAAAGCACTCAGTTTTAGAAACAATCAATTATCAGGCTGACTGTGGCTTCACTTCCACTCACATGCTGTGTCTTTGTCCCCTTTTGTGTATCTTAACAGCAGGATGGACCCCCTCCTCTCTCTCACTTTGATTTAGGAAGCACTTACATGTCTGTTGTTGGCCTGATGCCCTTCTTTTGAGTCTCTGACAGAAAAATGTCTGTATCCTCCTCCTCCCTGTAGTTTCTCTACATGTTCTTTTCGTTCCTCACAGTAAGTGTGCGACTGACACGCTGACAACAGAAGCACAGGATTCTTGTCATTAGAAAGCACAGCGTTGCGTTTGAAACAGGATTATTGTCTATGATGGTTATGGCTTGTAATAGGTCAATAGTTTGTCGTATGGCTTTCAGTTCAACTGTTGCTCTAAATCAAGAACACTGGTAGTGACGCATATCATATTCAACACGTATGTAAACAAACATATAGATTAGCTGTGAGTTATTATTTACACACACGCGCTCTTGGTATATTACTCATTCTATTAGTACATTTTTAAGAAATTATTTATGTCCTTGTGAATCTGATCGTTGATATTGCTCTGCACATCACACAGATTTCCTGACAAAGCAAATATCAGCTGCCAATGTTGATTTTGCAATGAAAGGAGATGTTCAAATATTGGAGTTAGGTTACAATTCAAATGACTATTTAACATCACAATGCCACTATCACGCATCAACAGAAAATACAAGATCAGAGCACGATACTGATGATAGTTTCAATTAGAATGGATCAATAGCCGGATTGATCTTAATGTTGAGTAGAGAATACCTGTGTCTGGCTGGAGACGTGTCTGCCGCCACTGAACAGTCCACTCTTTCCTCGTCTCTGTCAATTTGGGTCGGCACCATGTCAGAATTCTCTGCTCTGCATCTCTCCCTCAGACGCATCCCCCAGATCTCTCCAGAAAACATTCACATCTGTCTTTGTAGAGTAAAACAATTAAATTCTGAAGGGGGAAGAAAAGGGGAGAATCTGACCAGGACCCTGCAGAACAACTACATGTTGAGTCGCATCTGATTTTGAAATCTCTCCTGTTCTTAAGCAAAAATCTCCAAAGCCCTCAGTGGTCATAAGTTAATTAGTCCGTTTTTTGCTATTGTCTCTCTTTTCCTTATCTGCTCCTGCCCTCCTTTCTTTCTGAACCCTCCTGTCTTTTTCTTCTCTTGCACAGATTCTGAGACCTGAATGTGTTTCCTGAGTCTACTGTCTCTGTCTCTCTATTTCTTGGACTGCGAGAGAAATATTTCCCTCACACTTGGTGTTATAACGGTCGACCAATGGCATTGCTCTGTCTCCCTCCCTCTCTTATTTGCTCTCTCCTTCCTCTCTCCCTCCTCTCTGTCTGTCAGTCTCCCTCTCTCCCCTTCTCTCTCTCTCTCTCTCTCTCACACATTTATACATTTCCATAATCCCTTGTTCCCCAGAGACTGATGAGGGGGCAGGGCAGGCTGCAAATGTTTTTCTTTTCGTCTGTATCTCTCTCTTTTTTCCATCGTTCTCCCTCCCACAATCATTACCTCTCCACAAAGCTCTCAGTCATCCCTCATTTCATGAAATGTACGTCTGTTATGTGTGAGGCTGCTGCTCTTCATCACCCGTCATTTCTTTCAATTCTTTGGTCCGTTAGCTATTCATTCAACATCCAATACATTTTTCAGTTATGTCTTCTTATTTTGTTGGCATTTAAAAAAAATTATTAATATTGAACAGATTTTTCACTGTCGACATTTGATCGACAATTCTACTTTACAGTTTGACTGTCTGTGTCAGGACCATGGTCACCATGTAGGGTCAATGTGACGTGATGTAGTTCTAGTTTGTCTGACACGCTCACAGCTTTATGAGCTTGAATGCCTCTTCATCAACACAATTTATTAATGGATTGTAAACTGCTTATTTAACACTGATAACTGCGTAATAGTGGATCATACCATCATTATTTTTGATACATATTGATTATTTTCTGTTTGACAGGCTTGCAGTTGTACCGCTTGCACTTTGAGTGGCACAAGCTGCACCTTTGTGACATTTATCTATTACTTCTAGCTAACTACAGCATTTCAACTGGTATTGATTACTGATAGCTACTATTTTTAATTACCTGCCCATTGACGTACTTTTTCAAGCCTATGCCTGTGTCTATTCCTGTTTTTAACCTTTGATTTGTGACTGTTCTTGTGTCACGTTTGTTGTATTTACAGGTGTTTGTGTCTCCTAATCTGATTTTGACGCTTAGTTTTACTTTAATTATTTTCTTGTTTATTCATAATATATTGTAAGATGTCCTTCGGTGTATTAATGTATAATGTATTGTTATTTATCTACAAGCTATTTCAACTATGGATCGGTGAGACAGATATTAGATCTGTCTCACTAATTTGCATTACATTTGGCAGGTTTGCTGGTTGGAGGTTGGGGTCAGGACCTGCACACAACAATGAGATCAAAGTTTTAGCCCAATTCAGTAACTTGGATTTGATGAAACTTGGTATGCAGCCTCTGGGGACTGAATGAGCATAAGTCAAACTGATGGCAAAAAAAACATGGCTGCCATCAACGACAAGTCGGGGCTTAGCAAATCTTGGCTATAACGCAGAGGATTTGTCTGATCACTGTGGTGGATTTGATGGATATGTGTAGGCCTAGGTTGAGAAAAAACAGACATTTCCAGTTTGGTGTAAACCTGTGAGGGAGAAGCAGTGGAGCCGTACACTTTCTTCCCAAAAGTATATTTACTCAGGATTCTGCAAGAAAATGGAAGCGTTGATTAGGTTAGGCTTATACAGAAAAATGTATGTTTCAAAACCCAGTGGTTAAAATGTTACAAAATGAGGTGGTCATTATCTGGAGGCAAACGTCGACCAATATCTGAAGCTTGATGATGGTTAGTACAAGAGGGTGTGGTCTATCACTTCTTTACTTGTAACTCAAGATGCATTTGAGAAACTCTGATTAAATTTACCAGCACCATCTGATGCTGACTCCAGAACATACACACCGATTTTCTTCAATATGTGAAGGGGAGACTAATGATGGGACTTTCAGTGCTCAGTGCATGATGAAATAAGTGTATGATTCTCTTACATGATCTTAAATGAATAGAGCTGAAGCCTGAGACCTACTAAACTGTACTCAACGGCTCACCATGGTTTGAGTGCCGTGGCACACTGATTTATTGGAATCAAGGGATCCGATGTTTGCCAGGAAAACATTTTCTTCTTGATGCCATTACACCACTACCAGCCTGAGCTGTTGATACAAGGCAGGTTTGATTCATTGACTCATGCTGCTAATACCAAATTCTGACCCTACCATCTGCAAGCCTCAGCAGGAATCCAGACTCATCAGACCAAGCTATGTGTTTCACTCTATCTTCTACCTTTGTGGCCCATTTGTCATGAGGATCGACATTTTGTGCATTCTAAAATCCTTTTCTGCTCACAACATCCCAAACATTCCAATCTAAGTCAATGGGATCGCTTCTTTTCCCCTCATTCTGATGTTTGATGTGAACAACTGGAGCACCACCTCCAGCTGGACAGTATTCCATAAAACTTGGTGGAAGGATGTGGTATTGGGTCCCATTCAATTTTGGTGAGAGACAGAATGATTTACAGCATATACACAGTTTTCCCAGGGAATAATTAATGGACATATATATATAGATAGATAAATAGATAGATGCTTATGCAGCCTGTGCCCTGCTGGATACATCTCTGATCTGCCCAGTTACATGTCTGTATATACAGGCAGGGTCACCACCCACATCTTAAAGTGAAACGTAAAGGCACTTCACTCTGATGATCAAACCAGTATATAACGTACACAGCATATGGCTTGTGTTGAAAAAATGGTGAGATCTGGGTTACTGCACACAGTGAATGTGTGGTTTTCAATCTGGGTTAGTGTGTTAAAGCCTTAACGCCTATTTTGGTTCACTGCTGTCAGTGGTAGGGGATTCCCTGCAGTCTGGTCAAACTGTGTTGAGATGGTTGCACCGTCTCATCAAACACATGGGGTTGTTAAACCAAGCACACGTAACTTAATGTTAGGAAACACTGTTTGGTACCTGTCACCACGGTGACTCACCGGTGCTCATCAGTTTGTTGTTTTAGCCTCTTTTAACAGGGGCAGCACACATCCCTTCAGTGTTTTGGTGCCTGACAACTGAGAGAGGATCGTGAACCAGCGGCTCAGAAATTATAAACACAGCCGGTGTGCAACCAGAACCATCAGAGGGATCCTAAAAGGGTTGGTCCCTTTCCCCTATAGTGGTCACCTTATTTCTGAGTTTGTGTCCATTGTAACTTGAACTCCTAATATTTCCATACTTGTGCAGCTGCTGTATGATTACACTAAAGCATCTTCAGTATGTTCTGGTGAATTTTGCTTTTCTGCTTATTTTGTAATGGCTGCTGATATCATCATGAAACAGATTGTGGTGCGTAGAAAAATGATTGTTTTCAACTCTTTATTGTTTTCACATCCTAGAAAAAGCATTAAGTCCCATTTGTACTTTTAAAGTAAATGGACTACACTTGTATAGAGCTTTTTTTAGTTGTACTGACCACTCAAAGCAGTACAAGCCACACTCACCCAATCACACGTACATTTACAGTGCTAGTATATGCTGCACTTTTCCTATCACACACACCATTCACTGTCAGCACAGATGTTGGGGTAATTTGGGGTAATGATGTTTTTGGCCACTGGTATGTGGACTATAGAAACTGGGACTGGGAATTAATAATATGATACTTAATAAAATGTGTTTAAAAAAGAAGATGATCATGTTTTCTTTTCTTGGTGTTGTATTGATCACATTATCAATCAATAGACTAATTGAGGAGAGGTAGGAGTGACTTCAGACATCTCCAGGTGAAGGAAAGATTCCTGAAAATGTGCACTGACAAACAGGAGCTTCACACAAACGATTCCACACTGCAGTGATCAAACCTCTGGTTGAAATCTGGTTGACTTGCAGTCATGAGCTCTGGAGCGTGTAGACTTGGTGCTGTTTCATTGCTGGATTTAGACCTCCCACTAGTGGTGAAGATAAGTGACTGTTGGTGCTGATGTATTTTCACATTCCTGTCTGGAACAGTGCAAAAGAATTACAACAGTAATGTAAATATGTGGAACATATGGAACCTCAAAATACAGCAGAGAAATGCCAAGAAAACAGTTTTATTTCTAGGAATGTATTAATTTTTATATGAGCCACACAGGTTGTTTTCACCCCTGTCCATTTGTCTGTTGGTTTGTTAGAAATATAACATGAAAACTATTGGATGGATTACCATGAAATTTGATGGAAGGATGTTGTATGGGTCAGGGAGGAGCTGACTAAATTTTGGTGCAGATCACATTTGTAGCCGACTGTACCCCATTCTATATGGCACAAGTGTAGTGTGGGGCTAAAATGAAAAAGCTTCAAGAGGCATTTAACCATGTATTTAAAATATCTCTTAAGCTCCCAAGATGGACCAGTGCAAGTCAGATCTTTATGGCCTGAGAAATTTCATATGCAAATGTATTTGTTGATTAACTGATTCGACAAATGTCATCATAATGGCCTCAACTGAGCCTCGACTGAGTGACACAAGGTAATCCTCTTGTTTCTGGAAACACTGGAACAATTGCATGTTTGTGTCTTAACAATAATCCAATTATCTTGCATTGTATTTATGTGCTGTTTGTTTGTATTCTATTTTACATAGATATGGAACTTTGTGTCTCCAATAAAGTTGAACTGAAAATCAGGGTGCTGATCCAGGAATTTTCTTTTCACTTTTTTGGGGGGCATTGTGAGATTTTTCCAACATTTTGTTGTTTTTCTCAGAGAATAAGAAATGGATCACGATGGAAAATATCTGGCATGTTTAGGGAAATGATATCTTTGTGCAATTTGGTGCAGATCCAAATAAAAATCTGGATCTAGTGAATTTAAATGTGGTTTCGCAAGGGGAATTACACAGGTTGTATAAAAAATACAGTGTACAAACTACCAAACAAGACAGTTTTGTCTGTCTTAATTATAACTAAATATAATGACCACAGCTTGTCAGCCTTTAAGCCAGATATGCAGATCTCAATATAATGATGTGAATTTATTTTTTATCTAACATCAGTCTCTCTCTGCATCATTGAAAAGCTGGTTTTCAACTATATTCTTCTATAGTACAAAACTATCATTATTCCAACAGCCTGTGCTGATCTCT